ACAACACCCAGCTATTTTTTGGTTGCAGCCGTCATTGTTGTTTGGCAGGCCCAGGCTGGATTTGAACCCGCCACCTTAGGTGTACGTGGCTGGCGCCTTAGCCGCTTGAGCCACAGGCGCCAAGCCGATAAACACTATTTCATAGCTGACCTACTCTCTGCCACTTTTCTTTAGTTTCTCTCATCTGCGGTCTGACATGGTAGCAATTTGGTGTGTCACTCAGATCACAGACTCACAACGGGGCTGGCTAAATTCAGTTTGAGTAATGGATAACCATTAGGTATAAAGTAATAAATATTGTGTTTAAGTCCCAGGTGAGCTGTGTTAGAAAAGAGAATTAGCAGTTCCTGTGAAAACAGACTCTGGGATGACTCTGTCTTTTATTTAAAAGAAGTTTCTGGGCGGCACTTGTGGTTCAGTGGGTAGGGCGCAGACCCCATATACCAAGGGTGGCGGGCTGAAACCTGGCCCCGGCCAAATTGCAACAAAAAAATAGCCGGACATTGTGGCAGGCACCTATAGTCCCAGCTACTCAGGAAGCTGAGGCAAGAGAATCACCTAAGCCCAAAAGCTGAAGGTTGCTGTGAGCTGTGACACTATAGCACTCTACAGAGGGCAACAAAGTGAGACTCTGTCTGTAAAAAAATAAATAAATAAATAAGAAGTTTCGTAGCTCGGTGGGTAGGGCGCCGGCCACATGCACCAAGGCTGGTGGGTTCGAAACCAGCCTGGGCCAGCTAAAACGACAGCTGCAACAACAACAACAACAAAAATAGTGGCTTAGTGCCTGTGGCTCAAGTGGCTAAGGTGAGTCACATACACCTAAGGTGGCAGGTTCAAATCCAGCCCAGGCCTGCCAAAACCAACAAAGATGGCTGCAACCAAAAAATAGCCAGGCGTTGTGGTGGGTGCCTGTGGTCCCAGCTACTTGGAAGGCCGAGGCAGGAGACTCGCTTGAGCCCAGGAGTTGGAGGTTTCTGAGAGCTGTGATGCCATGGCACTCTACCCAGGGAGATAGCTTGAGGCTCTGTCTCAAAAAAAAAAAAAAATAGCAGGGCATGTGGCCAGCACCTGTAGTCCCACCTACTTGGGAGGCTGAGGCAAGAGAATTGCTTAAGCCCAAGAATTTGAGATTACTGTGAGCTGTGACACCATTGTGCTCTACCCAGGGCAACAGCTTGAGACTCTGTCTCAAAAAAATAAATGAATAAAAGAAGTTTCTGCTTAAAAAAAAAAAAAGCTTAAATGGCTGTGCTAATCTTAATTGAAATCCTAACACAAGAGAATGAGAGTGAATGTGGCTCCCATCTGCTCTCTTTGACCCTGTGATATTCCAGTTGCATCAGAGTATTTTTAGACTGTGGCCCAGGACCAGACTAATAAGCTTACCTCCAGATGTGATGGTAAGTGGAAACACACAATTCTCTGAGCTCCAGGTGATGGCTCTGGACATGCCTTCCTTCTTTCTACTTCCTGACATCTGTCCTCCCCCAATGTTGACAGTGACAGTGGATTATACAGTAAGGGTACCAACTAAGGCAGAGAATAGGTTCACCTCTCATCTCAGGGTGCCAATATCTCAGGCAACTCTGTGTCAGATCCCCTGACAGCAAATGACTTCAGAGCCCAGGGCCACTTGCTCATGGAGTAAATGCAATTGACTTCTCTGACCAAAGCTCAGAGGGACCTGCCTCTAAGGCCCAGCAGGCTCCTCAGCAGCTCTGTACAGCAGGGACAACTGATGGTCACAGTTCAACCCTGGCATCCAAGAGCTCTGCCTACCCATCTGGTTCAGGAGACAAAAAGGAGCCTGTCGAGGGTCAGGTAAATTACAAAAACAGTCTACAGGAGTTTGACGCTTAGGCCAAAAGCAAAAACTCCCTATACCCCTCTGCTCTGCCAGGGTCCAAAATTCATTAGGCAGAATTTGAAAATAAAGTGCTTTATTGCTGAGGATCCCAGAGAGCTTTGGGGCAGCTGTGGAGGGGCTAGAACTGAAGTCCTCTACCTTTTAGTGGCTTTTATGAACAGGAACAGTTGGCACTTCAACATTTCAACCCCATAGAAGGCAAGGAAGTGTGGCTTGGGGACCAGGGAAAGCAGGGAAGAGGCAGCAGCTGTGCTGGGAGAACAGATTACTTATGTCTCTTCCCAACTCTGAGTTCAGTGCACTTGGTGATTTGGGGAGCCTGAAATGGGCTTTGCTGGGAATGGTTACCCCACAGAAATCACCGAAATGCTACCAATCAGTGCTTGTTTTCCCTCCAGAGAGCTTGGTGACCATCACTATAGACACATGACAATATGCTGAGGCAGTGTGAGCCTAACCCAGTCTAGCTGCTGTGACAAATGGCTACCTTCCCACTATAGGCCAGCCCAGCTCCCAGCCCTGCACATTCCTACATTATGGGCAGAACAGAGAGGCCTAAACAAAGGAAAGGACTAGAACTGCCAACCCCACTCCCTGTCTGGAGCCAGGCTTGCCTCAGCTGTGATGTGGCCTTTAGGCCCAGACTAAAACAGAGCCCACTGGAAGGGTGGCTTTGGGCTCCTGTGCAGTGGCTCCTGGCAGGGTGTGGGCAAGCAGGGCTCGTGCACCACCCAGAGATGGGGAGTGGTCGACGGGATGGGATGTCAGCCTAGCAGACAGCAGCTGGCCCGTCCTAACATCCCCCTGCCCCTCCTTGGCTGGCCAAGTGGGTGATTCATGGCAGGTCCTGGGAATCAGGATATATCCGGAGTGCCTGGCTCGCTCCTATGTGACCCAGTGCAGAGGAGCCCAGCTCCTAAGGAGAGGGACAAAAATGCACGACCAGCCTTGGATGGCACCTCCCAGCAGGCAGGAGAGTAAGGCTCTGCCGACACATGAGTGCATACACATTCCCAGTACAACTCAGAGGCCTGGGGGTCTGGGCTCCCTTCCCTTACCAACAAGCCCTATACCCCCTTCAATCTTTTGCCCAACCCTGCCTCTATATCTGGCGCCCTGACCTCCCTTGGGCAGGCAGAGGGCAGGCTGCAGCACCATAGCCTCCCTGGGCGACCCTTGCTTTCACCAGCTTTGGGCAGGGGCAGGGTTGGTGGGCCTGCAGGGCCTGCAGCAGCAGTCTGGGCCCAGCAGTGCCATCATCAGTATTCCTTGGCTTCCTGCAACTGGGCCAGGTACTCCTCCTCTGGGGGGTTGTCTGCACAGGCCCTGCCGTTGTTAGGGGGCCGCACGGCATGGTAGCGGCTCCAGTCCCCCTTACACAGGATCCACGGCAGTGTGTCCACCTTGAAATGCAGCTCAGGGGAGAAGTCGGTGCTAATGAGGTTAGGTGCCCCAGCACCCTTGCCACGCGTCAGGAGCCGGCTGCCCTCATCGTAGCAGCAGTGTTGGGCGGCCAGTGTGCTGCTCTCCACAGACAGCAGAGAGCGCAGGCAGAAGCGTGCAGTGGGCTGATAAACATCTAGGTGCTCTCGAGGGCCACTGGCGTCCCTCCACTGGAAGCTGCGGCCCTGGTGCTCATCCTGCAGGCTCACAGCGCTGTGCACGGCCTCCAGTGGGTACGCACACGGGCAGCTGGGCAGGTCGCGCAGCACCTGGCTCAGGTACTTGGCTAAGAAGTTGCTCTTACAGTTCAGCCACTTCTCACAGCTGTCCAAATCTGCAGAGGCCAGGGAAGTGTAGGAGGGGAGTCGGTCAGGAAGCTGGCCAGCCTCCTGGTGGAGTGACCAAGGGCCAGTGTTTGGGGACGGGAGGCTCAGGCCCCAGCTGGGGCAAGGACATGGCTTGGTAGGGCCTTAAGGGCAAGTGAAGAAGGACCCAAACTGGGGCAGATAAAAGCTACCCTGAAGCAAGAGGCTGTCACTCCAAAGGGACATGGCCACAGGGCCAGAGCAGTGGCCTGGAGGTGCCCAACAGTAGGAAAGATCCTGGGGAAAGAGCTGGGGTTGGTGAGTAGGTCCAGCAGTTTTTAGCCAACTGGTTAGAAAGTGTTTCAATATTTTAACCACTGACCCATTGTTGTCCTTTAACTCTGCCTTTTTCAGACCCCAGGCAAGTCACTCTGCTGCTGTGGCACCCTCTGTCTATGCTGCCCTCCACCCCTTTTTGTACTTTGGGAAATGTGGCCTCTGAATCTGGCCACAAAATTGCTCTTTCCTCTGCTCTTAGAACTTCAAGGCTCACATGGTTTATGGGTGTCTCTCCTTCAGGAGACCAAAGCTCCTGGAAGACAGGCACTAGGCCTCAGTCCTCTGGAACCCCTGGCCCCAGCACACTGCCAGGCATGTGATCCAGGCTTGCTGAGCACAAGCCTCGTGCACAAGGTGGGAGAAACCAGGAGCCTACCTTCCTTGCAGGGTGCAAGTGAGACCAGAAGATGCAGACTGCCAGCATGCCATGGTGGACCCCCAGCTGCCTGGCAGGAGCAGTCCTGGAGTTCTGGGCCTGACCCACATTCCCTTTCCCAGCAAAAAGTGACCAACAAGTGGATGTCAGAGTGTCCCTACCCCATCCTGCTGCCAAGGAGGATGTGCCCCACCCACTCTCCCAGCTCTCAGAACTGCTAGGGCTCCCTTCTGGGGATGCAAATCTTCCTACTGGAGGATGTGCTCTCTGCCATGATGCTCCAACCCTCCAGATGAAGGTTCTCCCCCAACCCCCCAGGAGGAAGGCCTAGCTCCCCACTGACCTGGGCCAAGCATATCCGTAGCATTGTGGGCCAGGGGCTGCCATCCCTCACTGGGGAAGCCTAAGGTATCCTCGTCCTCGGTGCCTTTGGGAAGAGAGGAGGCCAGGCTGGTGGCACCCCAAGGGCACCTCTGTGCTCCTGTTGGGGAAGCCCAGCCCCCACTAGGCTCTTGGTGCCCACAGCCGCTAGGACAGGCCTGGGGCGAGGCAGGACCACAATGTTTGTAAGCTTCCTGCATCCCCTCTTCCAAGCCCACCCCTGGTACAAGGGTATGTGCCCACATGCCTGGGGACCAAGCCACGTGTCTAAGCCACACCAGCCACTCCTATGCAGGGCTAGGGCTTATCTCACCAGGACAGGGGGGCAGGTTGCAGGCACGGGACTCAGTGGCAGTGCAGGCATAGCCACAGGGCCGAGTCCTCCGCTGGCTGCCACTGCTGCAGCTCCCACTACAGGGAGACCAGGGGCTCCACTCCTCTTGAGGCTCTGAGTCTGAATCAAGACAGGGAGCTGGGAGTGAGTGCACACAGCTGACAGCGCACATGGGTGCAAGTGAGAAAAAGACAACCATACCTTAGGTGAATACCGCTCAGGCCAGGGCTCCCAGCCTGGTCAGTGAATCATGAGCCAGAGTCCAGCCCCACCTGCTCCCTTAGGTAGCACCACTGTACAGTGAGCAACCTGTGCAGATCTATCAAGCAGCCCAATGGAGACAGCACAAGCCCCAGCCACCTGCTCTGTGCAGACACACCAAAGAAGAGGAAAAGGTATCTGGGGCTGGTAGCCACCTGACTACTGTCAGTGTGACCCCAGTCAAGTCCCTGTACATATCTGAGCTATAGTTTGTTTTTAAGTCTCACTATTGCCCAGGCTAGAGTGCTGGGGCATCAGCCTAGCACACAGCAACCTCAAACTCCTGAGCTCAAGTGACCCTCTACTTCAGCCTCCTGAGTAACTGGGACTACAGGCCCCAACCACAACACCTGGCTAATTTTTCTATTTTTAGTAGAGATGGGGCCTACTCTTGCCCAGGCTAGTTTAGAGCTCCTCAGCTCAAGGGATCCTCGTGCCTTGGCTTCCCAGAGTGCTAGGATTACAACCTGAGCCACCATGCCTGGCCTGAGCTATAGTTGTTACTCAAAACCAAGGGGGACAATACTTCTCAGGGCATTTAAGAATTTCTCTGCTGCCCAATTAGGAACCCACTTCTGATCTGAAGGAGCTGAAATGCACTGTGGCTGGGCCCACTGTCCTTAGTATGGGCAGGACCTAAGACCCCATGTTCTCTGTGAAAGCCCCCAAACACTGATGCAGCTGGTCCACTCCTCACTTCCCAGGCTGCCAGAGCAACTGGCATCAAGAGTTTAAAATATTCTCTACAACCCACCCTACGTAGTACAGCTTATATCATTCCCCATTTTAGAGAGGAAGGAACTGAGACAGAGAGGTTAAGTAACTTGCCCAAGGTCATTCAGCCAGCAAGTGGCAAAGCCAGGATTTAAAACCACACAATCTGATAATAAGGTCTGTTGTGAGTGGCATGAACACAGTATTTTTTAGTTTGGTGGAAAATCGTAGATATAAATAAATGTACTAGTAACAAATGTCTTTTACGCAGGGGAATTCAGGGCTGTTGTGAGGCTGAGATTTTGTTTTAGGAAAAATAAAAATCTTTGCCTTTGAGCTCTTGATGGAGCTGATGCTGGTGTCTGAACAGGGCCCTAGCTCCTGGCCTCTCCAGATGCTCCTGGCTGTGCAGCCTCAGCTCCATTCCTCACCCCCATTTCCACTCAGGACCTACAGGGGCAGTAGCCTAGGGATGCCAAGATAGGGATGCTCACCATAGCTGTCCGACTCCTTGAAGGCCCAGTCCCCAGGGGCAAGCCAGCCTCGGTCCCAGCTGTCTGTGGCCCCACTGGACCAAGGCTCCTGTTCTTCCTCTTCATCTTCCTCATCACTGTCCTCCTGGCCTTCACCCTCACCATACTCTGCAGGGTAATCCTCCTCTTCCTCCTCCTCTTCCTCGGGGGCTCTGCCCTCAAGACTGATGCCCCCTTCCTTGCCTTCCAAGTAGCCCCAGAAGAGGGGCCAGAAGAGTTCCTTGCCGGGCAACCATCTAGGAGTACCCTGGGGCCAGCGATTGCTGGGCTCAGCCAGCAGGTCCATCTCCACCTCAGCCTGGGGGTCCTCCACCACCTCGATGGTTACCTGCAGGACAGATGCCAGGCCAGCCAGTGAGGGAGGGCTCAGAGCTGCACGGCAGGGAGAGGGGAGATGATAGGGCCAGGGCGAGAGGCAAGAAGACCAACCTTTCCTCCAAACTACTGTCTTCTCTTGGCTGACCATCTCAGCCTCTCAGGGCACACAGGTTGTGGTGTAATGCCTGTATGTACATCAGGATTCTGGCTCCCAGACCCCAGATATCGCCTGAATGGGTCCGGGGTAGGGCCAGGCATGGGGGTTCTAACATGTGCCAAGCACTAGTTTAAGAGAAGCTGGAGCTGAATTCTGGTTTTGCCCATATACAGCCAGCCTGGCCTCAGGGACCACTAACAGCTCTGGGCCTCCATTTCCTCATGATAACACCATAAAATATGAGGTACAGACATTAAATCTCTGCAGCAACCCGTGGGAGAAGCTCTCTCATACCATATTATAGATGGAAAATAACAAAAAATAAAATTTAAATGGGCTCGGCGCCTGTGGTTCAAGCAGCTAAGGCACCAGCCACATACACCTGAGCTGGCAAGTTCAAATCCAGCCCAGGCCTGCCAAACAACAATGATGGCTGCAACCAAAAAATAGCCAGGCATCGTGGCGGGTG